ATTTATTTAATTAATTAATTAAAGATATATTTAAATACTAATTTTATTAAATAACTATATAAATTTAATTCCAAGTTTATAAAAAATAATATATGAGAAGTGTATATTTGTATATCATCAAATTTCAATTTATATCCACTTTCTTAATATGAAAATTAAGGAAAGCAAAATTTAACAAATACATTGAAAATATTCTTTGACAACGTTAATTTGTTTCAAAGTTCGAAATTAGTCAAGTCTATAAAACAAGAGAGTTTTTAAGTGGAGGACCTACAATTTATTTATTGTGTTTAGAGGAGGTGAGGGAGAAAGGAGGTGAGGGATAATGAGATAAGCTAAGAAGTAGAGAAGGAAAGAAGGAACGATTTCTATTAAATTATTATGTAATTCTACTAACATTAAAAGATTTATCAATAATACGACTAACCGAGCTACAGAGTATATTTTAAACTTGGGAAATAATTGGAAATTTGCATAAGATTAAATTAGATTTAAGTATATGCGTGTATATGTATATATATTTAAAGAGTCTATTAAACTGTTAAGTAGATGTCTAATTTGAAACAATCTAGACTAGGTACACTCTTTAAGAGTAGAAAACGACCTTTGTTCACGCCGCTAAAACTCCGACACTTCGCATCGTGACGGCAAAAGTATAAGAATAACATACTAAGTTTTTTGAATTAGAATGGTCTTTTTGCAACCAATGGAAGGATGGTCGAGAATGCTTGAAAATTTCAAGGGACATGATAGAATGAGTCACTATTTAGAAAATAAAGTAAGTATACGGAATTTATTTTAAAGAGTTTATTTTATTTTTCTCAATCAATCTACACTTTTTCATAAAGAGACAAAAAACCTCTTAAGTAATTTTGCAACTTTGTTCTATTTAACGAAACATAATCGAGTAATTTGAATATTTTTTCTTCATTTTTATTTGCTTTTTACTAGATAAATAATTTAATTTATTAAACAAATTATCTATTAATTCGTTTAATCAATATATACATATATACATTATATATATATAGTATATATAATAGTTAAGAATAGTTTGAAACTCTTTTAATGACAAATTCTGAAATCCTCATAGTACGATAGAGGGAGCAGCAGTCAACTCTCATTTAGATATTACCCTCTAGATGTCATCTGTAAAATGCGTAACCGTAAAAAATTCTCCGACTATTATCTTATCAATCGTAAAAAAATGGTAAATTAAATTAGTTGACAAATTTCGAAAGGCATTCCTCTTTTTGGTAAATATCAATCGTTTTCCCAGATGGCGTTTAGATATTCTTATCTACCACCAATAAAAAAAAGAAAAGTTTCTCTCCAGTTTATATAATAACTAAGAAAGACCCCGTTTCAATTTTTTTAGAATATTAATTATGATTACTAATAGAGTTTTAAAGAAAAACAACGCGAAAAGGTAATACGAATTTATTGATAGCGTCTATATACCGTAGTTTCATGATTAACGTCTAATCATTAAATATTTCTATTATATTTATATTTTACAAACAAATTATTAATTGATTAGAAATGATATATCTTTATAATTTATGAATATTATTATATTGTATTAATTATATACGTGATTTTTTCCATTAACGATAAACTAAAACTAGTTGCTCTGATTCGAAAGATTTATAAACATAAAAACACTTATTATTCTATAATAATATAATATGTTAACAATTCATATTCGTTATTTGTCAATTTCTATTTTTCCGAGATAAATTAATTCAAGAATATAACGCTTTGTTTGTCATTTTTCTTCTCCTTTTATCTCTTTATGGGTATATTTGGAGAAAAGCTTTTCTTATTTTATCTTTAAAATTTAAATATATCATCTGCCTATGTATTCCTTACTCACTTAATGTATGATTAATGTACTGTTCGTCAAAAATTCCCAGTTTTAAGAGAGTTAAATACGAGATGAGGGTTTTAAATAATCTCAACGTCTTATGCAGCTCAGCCTTGACAGAATGGCTGGACACGGCAATACGGAGATTCAAATTACATCTCGATTTACGACTGAAAGATTGCTTAAATACCAGTTTTTCTTTTTCTATTGGTAATTTTAGCTGATAGACCTTGCAGATGAATATTACTAATGTATAAGTTACAGACGCATAAAATTCACATCACGGCTACTTTAAAGCAGAATAGAATGCTTTACAAAATGATAGTATTTAAGTTATTATCGTTAACTATACCGTTTCTTTGATCTACCATCATCTATTTCCTAAATTTCTGCCCTTTCATTTATAAAAACATCTTTTGGGAATATTTTTCGTTTTGTGTTACATACTTCTATTCAACATTTTGTCAGAAGGTCATTAACATATTTCATTGAAGAAGCGTTTAATAGGATTTTTATAAAAGGCTCTTTGACAAACAGATAGACGAAATGATAGGGGAAACTGGTACAATAAACGATATTAATGATAAATTAAATTTGTTGAAACATACGAAAAAAAAATAAAATGAATGAATGAACTGGAAAATATGGATTCATAAAGTAGATTTAGCGTTAATAAGGAAATAAAAGCTAATTTCGATTATTTAATAAAAAGAGTCACTTGTTAAAATAAGGTTAAGATTTGACAACAACATTTCTATTATATTTCTTTTAGTACTTGAGATACTTATTTTATTATCTAATATCTAATAAAGAGAAAGTATAAACCTTATTTAGATGTCTAAACCATTTCAATAACCCCGTATAAATGTCTCATTAAAATTATTACGACGTATTGAGTTATTCAATAACTAAAATAACGTATTTCCTTTATAGTTATATGAATAAATTAAAGAGAGAGAAGGGTAGAAATAAAGCGAGAGAGAGAGAGAGAGATAAATATATTGTCTTTTCTCTTTCTGCATTTCCCTTTCCTTCTCTTTCAAGATAATTATTACTTTCTAAAATATTAAATACTGTAAAAGTGTTTTAAACCATTATAATAAGCTTTTATTAAAATGTTAATAATTGTTTTATTCCGTTAATATATAAATATAATTTTATTAATATTGTTTATATTGATGTTTCAATATGATAAAAATCATTAAAAAAGAGAAATTAATAAATAACGAATAAAGTAAAAATGTTTATTTTTCATATGGCCTACATATTATGGTCAAAATAAAACAGTATAATATAAAAGTTATGAAAAAATGCTAAGGCAACTGCAAAGTGGACAATTGCTGTGGCAGCACCGCCTCGAGGTACAGTGGCGCCGTTTGACACTAATTGCCAAACTGATGCTACCCAGATGTGTCTGTAACGACTGGGTTATACTCGCTGCAATTTACAAATGCATTTCATTTTCCCTTTTTTTTATGGAGATAGAAGCTAAATATTTTGACGAATATTTCATACCATACTTATTTTATACATTAGTAATGAAATAAATAATAAAAACATTTTTTCTATTTGGCCTAGTTAATAAAAAAAACTGCAACATCTACAAAACATAAATAAAAAAGATATGAAAATAAATATGTATTTTATTCGGAAAGAGAAATTTATTTGCTGTAAGAAAAAGGCGGTCACAGTTGGCGAGATCCGTTCGTACAAACAAAAAGTTTATTCGCGGTCAACCAAGCATGACATTGCAGTCAAAAGCGGCCTTGTTTGTCGTACGGATTTCCCTCTTCATAACTCAATTACCTCTCTCATTCCTTGATTGAATGGAGCACTATGTTTGCTTTGCTTCTCCTCTCAGCCCTTTTCTTTCCGCCCTCTAGATTATTCAAAATATAAGCGTGTTTTCTATATAATTTCGCTTATTTAATATATTGTTTTCAAGTGCTTATTCAGCTATTTGAAAATTACCCGATATAAACATATAACGAGTAAATTTTTTCATATGTTGTTAAAATCCTGAAAGAGGAAATTAGGTCAAGTAATTCTCCAAGTACTACACAACTTATTCCACAAGGTGAGGCGCAGCAGCAAATGGTGGGAAGAAAATTACAGGCTAAGCCGCTGGGGAAATCACTAAATACTCGATTTTCGTCAATGTTTACCTTCTGGCGGTACTTACACTTTTTGAATCACCATGATCGTATGGGTCATTTGCTAATTGAACGATTCAATAATTAAGCCTAAAAACAAAGTATAAATATACTGTATATTAAATATTCTAAACTCATAGAAATCGCATTTCAAAATTAGCAATTTTTTAGAGGTTTTTAAATTCCTTTAAATATTAAATAGAACTTTTATTAGAACAATAATCGTTTATCTAAATAATTAAAAATACTCACTGTATCTTATAAAAGAATAAAGAAATTCATAAATTTTTAACTAATTCGTATAATCTTTAATATATTCAGTTAATGCAATAAAAAAGGTAATTTTCGCTTCGACGGTTAAGTTCAAGGCATTGAATCAAAAAAGTCGAAAAGTGCAACAGATGATCGTTGCCCAGCAAAAGTAGTTTGACAAACAAGCACTGTTGTAGGGTGGGCGGAATGCAAACGGCGCAGATGGAATAGTTGCTCTCTTCCCTGCCCTTTTGCCCTGTTTGAACGCTTTAATGTTTTGAAGTGAGCCGGTGACGTTTGCAGAACGTTATCTCGAGCGTGACGTTCTTTTGATTGACGAATAATCGAATGCATTTCTCACTCGAGCATGCCTTCATGCATTGATATACGGATTTATCCGAAATTTATTAGCCTACGAGATTCTTCTTCCTAAAAAGGGAAAGAAGAAAAAAGACGAATAGGGGTTTATACTGGCGCCGAAATGTGTCTTATCCTAGAAAACACTTTAATCAATCAATATAAGAAACGGTCTACAATAAGTCAAACCCATATGCATCTTGCATTACGGATAACTATTGGCCCCTTTGTCTGTCAATCTAGCTCTGGAGGTTAGCGGCAAAGGGGTCTAAACCGTTGGAAGCAATAGAAGCGCTTAACGCCCTCTCTATTTAAGGTGATGCCGATGGCCACGCCCCCTATGGAATTGTGGGTATATGGCGCATATAAAAATCAAGTTGCATTCAGAATTGAATTATTGAATAATTTCATTGCAGCCGGCAACCAAATTTAGTTGTAAGCAAAAATATTGCATTTCTGCTTGTGAATTCTTCTATATTTTCGCGCATATCTCGATAATTTAATTCCAGCGTATAACAGCGAACGATCGGCTAAAAAAGAAGGTAGGTATTGGCCTAGATTTTGTATAAGAAACAATTAGATTTTAGGTAATTTGATCTGATCTGCACCTTAGCGCCATGAGTACAACTAAATGTTCGCAATTGAATCGGACTGTGCATAATCGAATGTGCTTTAAAGCAATAAAAGATAACTCGATTTTCCAAACCAACTTTTGACGGCAGTTTGCTTTTGACTAGCGTCAAAGATGCTTCTCTTTGTTCATCTTTTTTTAATTGTCTAAGTCAGAGTTAAGAAGATCCAATAGCTCTGCTCAGCTTTCAATTTGCGATAAAATTTCCCTCAGAAATTCTTAAGAAAAGCCCAGAATTTTTACTATAAGAAAGGAGCGATATTCTAAATATGAATTTTACAGATGGATTACGCAAACTACCTATCCAGCAGCAATCCTACAGCAAATGCAGCTGTAGCATGCTCTTTCAGCCAATGCTCTTTGGATGTTTCTTCTTCTCAAACTCCCCAGCTAACAGCACCATCAGCTTATTCGGACCTTCAACCCACTCATTGTCAAATGCCACCACCGACAGCCTATCGTTACAATCCAATGCATGGATTCCCTGCTCCGCCACCCACCGATACATGCACAATGATGGCTAGAAGAGAAGGTTCAAGCGTTGGAGCCGCTCAATTAGGTCACCATATGGGGCACCAAGCAATGTTCGGTTCCCATCATGCCGCAGGTTAGTTTCCTCATTACGTAAAAATGCGCAATCCAATGCTCTCAAACTTATAATGAGGTCACTGTCGCGACGGGCGTCACGTGCATCTTAGACACCGAATACTCCCATACAAGAGTAGGCGTCACCTTTGCACGTGCACCAATTGTTGACAAGCGTCACTAATCGCATTTAATAGCTGTTGTTTGTTTATTGACTCTGATCGCGACGTCCGCCGACGAGCGTCCAATGTCGTCTGCCAATCGGCAGCGTCGTCACGGCAAATGAATATATCAAATTCGGTGGGGATAGCGTGAAATTCGAATGAGACGGCAATGAGAAAAAGAGTTTTCGATACGACTCCGTTGGGAGGGTACGCAGATACGCAGTAATAGTTTCACATTTGGCGCTTTGTGTCCGTGAAATATTGATGCGCGTCTAACAGATAATTACTGTATTATTCTTTGCCCCTTTGTTCCCTATCACTTCAAAGGGCAATCACATTCTTTTTGCCCCGTATCACTTACGTTATTCGATATGATGATGTATGAAATGTTTGATTCCGTAAATTTAAACAACAAAATCGAGAATGTTGCAGTATTTTATTCATTTTTCTATTAGCAGGTATTTCCCAGTACAAAATGTACGCCACTGCAACCGCCGCTGCTGCTGCAGCTCACGTAGCTCATGCCGGTCATAGCGGAAGTGGTTCGTCTGAGAAACGGAAGCAAAGACGAATCCGAACAACATTTACATCGGCTCAATTAAAAGAACTTGAGCGAGCCTTTGCGGAGACACATTACCCAGATATCTATACGAGAGAGGAGATAGCAATGAAAATTGACTTAACCGAAGCCCGTGTTCAAGTATATATATTTCCAATTTACATAAAATTAATCTCTTGTTTTTCCTAATAAATAAATTTATTCATTCATTTCATACTTTTATAAAATTATAGGTCTGGTTTCAAAATCGAAGGGCTAAATTTCGTAAAATGGAGAGGATCAAGCAACAAAGCCAATCGGTAACGAGCGGTAACAGTAATAAAGAACAACAGCAGTCGCCTTCTAAGGATGTTAAGAAAGAATCGATAAATGGTAAGAGTAGAAAAGATAAATGTCTGCTTTTCTTTTAAAGGAAAAAGAAAACCTTTTATTTAATTAAACAGCCCTCTTTCTTTTTATAGGAACAACAAAGTCACAAAATTCAGAACAATCTAAATGGTCATTACCATCAGATTCTAAATTGACTTCCAATCAATCTAACGTCCAGGGACCTTATTCGTCTTTGCTCTCTTCCACGCCATCTACTGACAGTTCTCAATACGATTAAGTCAATCAATACCTGTAACTTTATAATATATAAAGCATATGTATAATATCTATTTTTGTTTAAGTTGTGAAAAGAAAAAATGTTTATTTGTATGTATATTTAAATGTTTAAATAACTAACGTCTATTACATTTTGTTCCTATTTTACATCCTCTATAAATAACTCTCTTTCTATCTTTCTCTTTCTTTATCTTACTAACTAAAATTTTCTTTCTCCTTTTAACACCCTTTTCTTATTTTCTCTCCCAAAAGAAACCACCACCATGTTTATTTTGCCTTTGTTTATTATTTTTATTCGTTGTATTAAGATCAGTATTAATTTTAGTGTTTGTGTTATTTTGTGCCAATTTTTAAGTATTATGAAAAATTAACATTCCACTATTCGAAGCTTTTAAAAAAATGACAAAAAATGACGTCTTCCATTTTTTTTTCTTTGCAGAATACAGAAAAAGTCATTATTTTCATCGAACACATTTCCATATTTTCTTTTATTAGAAAAGTAGAACAAAACTAAAAATAAGAGGGGAAAAATAGAAAAAAAAAGTAAAAGACAATAAATGTAAGTGCCAATAAATTATGCAGGAATAAATTGAATTAGGATTTTAAAACAGTCTTATATCGCTATTTTATTCTCTCTTTGTTATATTTTAGCTTAACTAGAGGATCATATGATATTTCTAGTCCTGTTTTGTAGCTACTTGTTATTGTCCTTTGGTTGGGTGACTTTAAAAAATTCGAGTTCTTTTATATTCTTTTTTTTCTATATAATAGACATGCAAATAGTTAATTTAATAATAAAGTAAGACAGGAGTATTGAACTGTCAAAGAGTATGTAACAGGAGTAAAAAAAAGTCTTTTTATGATATGAATAAATGAATAAAACGCAAATTGAAAAGGTAAGGATAGAGTGGGTGGAGATAGATAGACTAGGGAATAAAAGGGAAAAAAGAAGGAAGGCGGGAGGCTAAAGAAGATTTATTCGTGTACTTTCATTTTCATATGAAAAGAATTTTACAAGAGGTTAAACCTTTCTTATTTAAAAATATAAATTATTTTTTTCAATTTCACTTTTTACTCTCCTTAAACAAATATATGTAATAAAAGGTATAGGAATTACATTGACCTAGCTGTTTTACCATTCTAGACCTAATTAGCACTACTGAAGAGAATTGTTTATCTAAGGCGATACTCTTTTAATTTCTCACTCAAACTCAATCCCTGATTAAGGTAAAAGCTTGAATTTCTAGATAAATATATTTCTTTTTACATTCTCCAGAAAAGAGTGGAAAGAGGAAAGAAAGACTATTGTATAATATAACAAGAAAGGTGGATAGAAGAGCCATCTGTCGGACTATGAAGGTTTCAATAGGAAATGTTGTTGAAAAGAAATCATTGAGGACCACATGCTGTTAAATCTATTAAGTTTATTCAGAATAGGACATTTTTTTGACGTAGCTTGTTATATCTGACAAAATTATAGTCGAGGGCGGTGGTATGCAATTAAACTATGGTCTACATTGTAGACTAAGCTCTAAATAATGGTTTAATTTTATTGCATTAAGAATTAAGCAAATGGGGTTTTTGCTCTTACTCTATCAATCCAATTAACGTTTTCTTTCTTTAAATACCTTTAAAATTATTTGTAAATAAATAAGCCAGTTATTGGACAGAGAGAGAGAGAGAGAGAATACGATTATATATTAATATTTCTAATTGTTAAAGCATTTGTCATTGAAAAGAAATTTCACGCCAAAATATTTTATTATCGTTTATCTTTTATTCAAGTACAAAGAGAATATTTATATATTTATTTAACGTTACGATTTACTATTTATTTTTAAATAAAATTCTCTTAAATTCACGTAGATAGATCATTTCTTAACCGTTACTCTATACTATTATATACTAATATAAATATAAATGAATGTAACACAACGTTTACCGCCATCTATCGGATTATTATGCCTATACTAAACAAATATTAACTTATTGGTCTAGAAAGAATAGTATTAAGGATTAGTCTAGTGTATGATTTCTAAATCGAGCGAACGATACGCTGTTGCCTTATTATAAAGCCTACTCAAAATCTATTAGGTCTAAGGTTATAAAGCGGAGAATTTTTTTCTTAAATTGTTGAATGCGATAAGTATCTGATACGCATTGAACGAAAGATGAATAGAATTGAGTAATCAAAATCTAAACAACCAACTAAATCACTCATTGAACCAATTAAAGCCAATTAACAGGTAGATTATTTACAAGAAAAAGGTGGGCGGAGTTAGCAAAGAGAATTGTCAATGAACCAATGTAGTTTTTGTTGACTAAATGAATAAAATTAGTCGAGACCCTGGAAATTCGACCAAGCGCTCTATGTTAAATTGCCGTTATGGCTTAAGACTACTTTTTAAAATAAATATTTCCGTCTAAAATAGTTTTTCAAATTTAGTTAGTGTAAAAGCTTGACACCATAAACTTCCGGTCTCAATCTCGTCCACTATTATAATAGATGGCGTTGTTTGCTTTAATTGTTTGCTAAACATAAAAATTACTTTGTAATAAACTTAGTCGCACCATACAATATAACAATTCCCTGTTGGGTAGTAAAGAAAAACTGATTGAAAGATAATGCGTCAAATAGTTTAACTATCTTGTAATACAAACACGACTCTTTGGTAGGCCGTGCGGCTTTCTATTCTTCTCTTTCTTTCTTCTTCTCATCTATTCAATCTTTTTTGCGCGCGAAAATTAATTAAGCTACTCGACGCTTCGTGCGTGCAAGCGGCCGAAAAGGAATGCGCGGAAACTTTATAGCGTCAATTCAGCTACAAATAAAAAGTTATTACTATATGAAATATTAACGATTTGCCGGTTTCTTCAAAGAAAGAAAAAAGTAGGAGGAGTCTACTGGTACGTCTAACGTTGTCGAGCCGATGGCAAGAAAGTGATAGCAGTCTGTAATCATGCGGCCAGCCGCTTTTCGGCACCTGTTTTCGCCCTCTTTTTCCAATCGAAGATGATTATATGGACAATCGGCAACTATTTGTCGTACATTGTTCTGTGCTTGAAAAAGCCACATTCTGCACGCATCAAATGCTTGACGACGCATGAAAGAACTCGACTCGGTAGCTCAATAGAGGCCTGACTCCGTTCCACAAAGACTCTCACCACGACCTAGTCGAATTAATTTGTCGCCTAAATAGGCCGACTTAGCGTGCGTTATATATTGTATATATTTTGTAAATTTCTCCTAAGGGATCGTTTTTTTTGACAACGCTGAACAGATGCCCGACGTATAGGTTATATAGAAATCTCTGTTGCTTTCGAAATTTAGATTCCTTTCGAACAGGTGGACTTGCCGCGCTGCCTAGTTCGGGCCACTGATTTTGTTACGTCACTAATTGAAGACAGCGTTGAAATTTCCCCCTATCAGAGCTCCTACGCATATAGTGCAAGGCCAATATGTCGACGAAATGTGTCCTATTCAAATTGTGGACAATAGCGGCGAAGTCAATTCAAAGTCACAATTGAATAAGACCTCTTTTTTAATATAAGCCATTCACAATTCGATCGAAAAAGTCGATTGAACGGCATATACGTCGTTTGGGGCGATCCGAACGGTACTTTTCGTTATGCGGCTCGCGTATAACGGACAATGAACAGAATGAAGAACGTATAGAATGGAAGAGTCAATTAACACGTCGTCATATATTGTGTAAAGTAAACAGGCTATACAACTACTGACGGTGGCAGTGAATGTATTGAAGGGCACAGCAGGAAAGAAGGCGCCCTGCACAACACTCGGCCAATCGGCGTTCGAATATCGAGCTACTATTATTCGAAAAGTTTCGAGTCAGTCATGTTGCACTGCAGATGACAACAGTGATGAACACGCAACCAACTTCAAGTAAGTTTAACTTTATTCTTTGTATTATAGTGTTCAATTCATCCGAGTCTATTCAATATCTTCTTTTAAAAAAAAATCTATTTATCCATTTATGTGACAGAGGCTGTCGCCTTTTCACTTATATATTTAAATATATATATATATATATATAAGCTGTGAATATTTATAAAAAATAAGCAATATGGTGTCTCCGGTTTATAGATAGTTGTTGGTGAGAGAGTTAAAGCTGAACTAGATTTGATATTTATGAATATTAATATACAAATATTAAAATACAACTTCTCGATTTAGTCAATCAGTCAATCAGTCAATCGGTCAGTTTATCTGTTTCCTATTATCCAGAGTATTAAGCTCTATAATGTCGCTCATCGCCCGATCGTGATCATTTCAAAGTAACCTTCTATTTGCTTACCGATTTTCGTCTATGTAATCGCGATCTTTATAGTCAAACTAGTAGTTCGATTAGGTGCGAAACATTCTATACACTACGTTGAGTTATAGGATTAAAATCACCATATTTCTTTTTTTTTCTGTCCTTTTATTTATTTCGCTAATAGACTTTTAATAGACTGACCGACCGACTTCCGATTCTGTATAGCGTGCCATTGGCAAATTAATCTCGTCTGAAAAGACTGCCTCTCTCTTCGAAGATTAATTTATGTTTTTGTGTTGAGCAATTTGTCATTCGTTCTATTCAAAGCTTTTGAAAGCAGCAAACCGTTTTATATATAATCGTGTGTTTATTACTTAATACCGGCGGTCGTTTAGGTCAACAAGTATTACACGGAAGAATATCTAAACTGACTATAATATATTATGTAGAAAAATTTGTTTCGTTCCGATCGAATTACCAAGTCAAATACTAGATCGTGAGAACTATATTGTTGAATTGTAGCTATTTTATACGACGAAGGAAAAAATAGTCTTTACTTCAAGGGCCTGTTCCACTATAACGCGCGTTTAATATGTGTGTAAGAAAGGCGCCAACTCACTTGGATATATAGGCCCATAGATGGACGCGAATGGGACGTGTTGTATACAAACGGTGAATTTATTGACACGGCAGTAAAGTGGGAACAGTTTTTTTTGTCAAATTCACGCGTTATATGAAAAGCGAAGGATTTTCTCTTTTTATTGTTTAATTTGTTTATCATCTCCTATTATTCTACAAATATTTTTTCTAAGAATGTTAAAATATGGAGGAGAGAAAGAGAAAGCGCGCGTAAAAAAAGTAAGGAAAGCTCCAGTGGTGTTCAATTTCGGAGAGAAGGGCAGTTTCGCGTTTCGAAAGTTGGTAACAAAGGTGCCTTATGATTACGGAGGGTAGGATAAGGTGCAGATGGCGGATGCGTGTAGAAGGCGAAAGTGAATCTGTTACACAACAGTCGCCTAGAAAAAATTGACGGCTCAAATGAGAAACATTTAGCACGAGATAATTTCCTGAAAGCGAAAGGTTCTTGTATGAACAAGCCATGCATTTTTAAATGAGAAAAGGCGCGCGCAGGTGGGCGGTGCCTTTGTGACGACGTCGCTCACTACCGGTACCTGCATTAATTATGGAGACGCTCGTAATTAACTCAACTAGTAATTGAGTGTACTGTCAGCGGCGTCACGAAAGCGTCGAAAGTAACTGACGTAACTATTGTCGTGATTTGCTACGACGTCTCCTGTGACGTCCACTTACGGCGTTCGGTGACAGTTGGCCGATGCATCTTCCCACTATTGCATCATAGTCCGTAATTGTAGAGTTAATGAAAAAGTGTCAGCGTGAGTTATGGAGTTTTCGCCATGCTAGATGGCGTAAAAAATTTGAATTTAAATAACCATTAAGAATTCTTTAATGAGGGGGGGTAACCTAGAGGGGGTGGGTGGCGATTCTAGGTTTGCTTTCTTGCATGGATTTTTTCGTACCAGAACATCAAAGCATGTCGAATGTAATTGAAAACGTGCTGGAACGGAACAAATTCATATCGTCTGTTTTCTTTTCGCAACTCGGTTTTTACTCGACAGTTTACCTAAAATTTCCAAAAGCGTCTAAATATTTGCCTAACACGTTCAGGTCGAATCCTTTTGGATGTTCCGTGCAAAGTTTGTCGTGATCACTCCAGCGGAAAGCATTACGGAATTTACGCATGTGACGGGTGAGTATATTACGGTTATACAGATAAAAAATCACGTGACATTCCATTGTGTCAGCTGACGTCATAATTAGTATTATTTTTTTTTGCAGGTGTGCCGGATTTTTTAAGGTGAGTTTCAATATATACTTGATGGTCAAAATCTAGGTCAAAATGCCCACTTCTCACAGCGCTCCATTCGACGCAATCGCCAATATGTATGTAAATCAAAAAGTCAGGGCGAATGCCCAGTTGATAAAACTCATAGGAACCAATGCAGAGCTTGCCGATTACGAAAATGCCTAGAAGCCGGTATGAATAAAGATGGTAAGTAAACTTTAAACTTTAATTTTATTTATTCATTATTTATTACGGGAAAGTTAAATATGGCAAACAAAAAAGCTGAAAAGTATACTATGTATCCGAGTTATTTACAGATATATTAATAGCTTTTAAAGAGCAAATATATAACAAGTATATATTAGAAAAAGTGTAATAAAGCAAGAGTGTAGACTATATACGTAGTATAAATATATAGCTTTATAGATATATTTAAATATATATTTAGTCATAGTCTTTATAAATATGAATGTGCTAAAAACGACAAAAGTGCTTTTCACACAATCAAAAATCGCGGTCGGTTAAACCAAAAAAAAAAATTAAAGAGCTATGGGAACTGATCGCGCGAGACGATTTTATTATACTGTCGAAAAAAGATTAAGTAGTTAATTGATTGTTAGGTTAGACGAACGTTCGATTCGTTCGACCGTTTAATTCGCCTAACGATTGCCTAAAGGCGTTTAAACCGAACAGTATAGATAAGCATCATTACATGCGTATTGAAATCGCCTTTATAGAAAAAAAGGGAATTTGTAGGCCTTTCACTTCGTTTAGGTGCGCATGCTCATCTCAAGTTGCACTGGATCTACAAAGCATTTTTACGCCTCATTAGTATTCAATGTAGTCTTCATCGTCTATATAAACATACCAAGACTCATTATAGCCGAATGAGGTCTTGTGTCAGTCTTGTTGATCGCGTTAGGGGGCGCTTGTTACAATCAAAGTGAAAATTATTTGCTTCAGTTTGAGTTATATTTATAAATATGTACAAATAAGCTTCGGTAAATTTCTATTAATAGCTTTGAAAGAGAAATGTTACTTTTTGGTCTTGAGAATGCGCGTGTGCTGCTAAATTAAAAAAAGTGTACAATAGCTGTATGGTCTTTTTATCGAGACGCTTCATCTTTAGTATGTCAATAGTGACGCGATGAGAAGACGCAAGTGTTCGATGCTATCAGACAACTTGTATTAATGTCATTTGCATATTAGTGACGGTTGAATGCTTTGATTGAACGCCAGCGTGTTGATCAATGGAACGAATGTTGTGATTAGAGGAATTTCGAAACGCCGCTGCCAATTTGTGTGGAAAATACGCTCCAGATTCACTGCGCTGATTTGTCTACTCTACAATTCCTAATTGCTCTCGCGCTAACGCTCACCTTTCACACTAAGTCGCCAGGTGCTAGGTGGAGCCATAGGCACCAAACGCCCTTCGATACGCTAATCATTCAAGCGTCTTGACCTTTTGCAGCTGTACAACATGAACGAGGACCTCGTAATTCAACTATACGCCGTCAGATGGCTCTCTATGTTAAAGAAAAGGCCGAAGCAACAACTAGGGTTCTTCCGCCGAGTGCTCCTGCACCTCCTATTCCAACTTTGTCGGCGGCTTCTCCTGTTCCAATTACGCCCATGTCGCAACCGGCCCTTTTATCTGCAGCCATACATTCGGGAATGCTAATTCCGCAACGATATCCTCCAGAACTGATTACGGCAGCCTATTTAGCCAATCCGGAGGCTGTTTGCGAAACGGCGGCTAGACTCCTCTTTATGTCAGTTAAATGGGTAAAAAATGTGCCAGCGTTCGTTGGTCTTGCATTTAAAGATCAAGTAACGCTCCTCGAGGAAGGTTGGAGGGAATTATTTGTTTTAGGCGCTGCTCAGTTCCTTATGCCAGTTGATCCTCAATCTTTATTAGCCACGTCACCCCTTTCCCGTGAAGATGGTTCATCATCCGAAGCTTTCAATCAATTATCAAGCGAATTAAAATCATTGAAGGAGATTATTGACAAATTAAAAGCAATGCAAGTTGACCAAACTGAATATGCTTGTTTAAAAGGCGTCGCTCTTTTCAAAACTTGTAAGTGTATACTATTCGAACGTTTTTAATACGTAAAGTGTTTTACGTCACCTTATATAAATTATAATACCCGATTATACTCTCACTTCGCAGCTATTGAAGAAGGTCGGTCGCTTCTTGATGTTCCTTCGATTGCCTCTTTGCAAGATCAGGCTCAACTCACCCTTAATAAGTATATTCAAACCGCCTATCCTACTCAACCGTCTCGATTCGGTAAGCTTCTCCTACTCTTACCAAATCTGAAGAATGTATCTTGCACCACCATCGAACAAGTCTTCTTTAAAAGAACAATCGGAGCCGTGTCTATGGAGAAAATTATTATAGATATGTACAAATCACCGGACTTTTAAAAAGTTCATTGTTATTTCGTACATAAAAAATTAATGAATGTTTAAAAAATGATCAAAATTGAAAAATAGCAAACGTCTGGCCATAAATGCTTGCCTGATCACAGAAAAGAATTTTCTCTATTCTATTTCTTTTTATTGCAAAATTGTATTTATCACATCTGTATTGTAGACGTATAGTTTTATATAAATACCACACTATGGCAGGTATATCTCATTTATACATATACACTGTATATATGTATATAAGAAATATATCTAGTAGTGCATTTACATGTACATAACGCGATGGAGTTTATTGAATAGACATAAACAGACACCATATGCTTAAACATGTACATGTATACATCTGTATATACATATTTAATAAATATATAATATGGTATTAAGTGTTTACACGTTTATCGTCTTTTTTTTTAAAAAAAAAGGGCAATTATGGGATTCTTTTTGACTAGGGTGTAAATCTATTTGCAATGCATTTTATATTTGAGCTTCAAAACTGTTACTTTTACTTTTATTATTTTTTTTTGCACTGCTATAAAATCTTAATTTTTAATATAAAGTATATTCTTTTGATGTATATGGAATTTCACCGTTTTTACTATTATTTCTACTTGTTTTTTTTTTGGAGAATATAATTTTCGAATGTAAAATTTCGAAGGAATGTAAAAAGCGTGGCAATTTCAACGCATGAAACTTTAAACGTCAAACCGGACGGCGTTTGCGTGTTGAGTATCAAAAGCATTTTAAAAGCATTTCTTTATAAATTATGTAAGGCATTCCCAAAAAAAGGCTGTCGACTTTTCTCTTTATTATTTTCTATATTTGTATATTATAAATAAATAAAAAGTAAATTGAAAGTATGTGAAAGAAAGAATGTTTGTAGATCATTAACCGCTTGAACGAACGTCAAAATGTGATCAGCAAGGCCCCCCTGCCATCACGTGACTGTAGGCGATTTCAACAGCGAGTTTGGGGCACGTAGAGCTATGATTAAACATGGCCAGTTATGATGAGCTACCCTTCGGCCACTGCCTGACGCCTTTGTTAGAATGGTTTAATACACAGCCCCCCGTTGGTAGCGTACCGGCCCATGCACGAACCAACCCGGTTATTTAATTCGTAATATGTTTATTTTTTTGCATAGATATCCTTCCAAGCACAAGTACATACTCTCATCTCTTTTTTTTGCATTTTTTATATGACAAAAAGTTAAAACATATTCTTTTCATAAAATAGAATTATAGGCATATAGAAAAAAACGCTATAAAAGGCATAAATACATAGAGATATACATTTGTTTACTTATAAATATATATATATAGATATATATATATATACTAATATATATATATATAAATCTATATAAAAAAGCTTTAAGCTCTTATGAATACAGTTTATAGATATAAGTTTATTGTATTTGTTTTTAAACTGTATAAATAACAGCCCAATTCTCTAGGAAAGTGGAATTTCATTAATATAGTCGTTCGATTTGTACATATCTACTAATAATTTATCAATTGGAACATCTCTAATCGCCTTCTTGAAGAAGAGTCGTTCGATAGTTGCCGAGCTCACCGACTTTAATGAGGGAAGGAGTAGGAGTAATTGTCCAAATCTGAGGGGTTGAGACGGATAGGCTTTGTTGATGTAGGTGCTAAGAGTCACTTGAGCTTGGTCTTGGATAGCGGCTATATCTTGAGCGCTTTTGATGTCGTTATTTTGAACGGCTGTCGATATACGCAAGAATTTCAATAAATAATGCGGTTATTTTCACTCAACTACTTTTCCTTACAATCAGCTTTCTCACAAACCTAAAAGCTGTGACTTGCTGACTGTTTGGGGCGGTGAGCTAAGAACTGATTGTGTGCACAATAAAGAAATGGAGCCGGCGGCTGTTTTGCGCTAAAAGCATTTTATAGAAGTAAGTAAACGAACCTGTTTTGAAGATGACGATGCCTTTTAAGCAAGCATATTCGCTCCGGTCAACCTGCATTGAGCGGAATTTGGCGATAGTGTCCTGAAGGACTCTTATCTCTGCAATAGCCGCGATAGAGTCATCGCTGGGTGATTTATCTGGCGATATTCCAGCAGCAGTTAAAAGAGATGCAGCTTCGATTGGTAGTTGAAATTGAGCAGCTCCTAGTACAAACATTTCCCGCCATCCTTCCTCTAACAAGCTTAATTGGTCACTTACAGGTAGACGGAGAAAGGCTGGTGTACTCTTCATCCAACTCAGGATGTTGAAGAGGATTCTGGCGGCAGCTTCACACACCGATTCAGCGGAATCGACGCTTGTGGGTGGTGTGGGTGGCAACTCATGAGCGTACTGTGGCAGTTTTTTTTAACCATTTAAAAGCGTATATAATTGCGTATTCAATTATGCGATAAAGAGCGAAAAAAAATACAACTCACCTTAATTGACGTCGTTGTCAACGTCGGTGTTGGAGTTGAGTTACGTTCTTCAATCACTATAGCTGGCGATGTCCTAACTTCCGGTCGAACTGAGGCCAGAGGCAAGGGTGGAGGCGGTGAGAGGAATGTAGCCGGATGATGGAGATAAGGATGGCGGAATGCCGCTGGAAAGACGGTCGTTGCCATATCATTTGATTCTTTTAAATAGAGTGCCATCTGGCGACGAATGGTTGAATTGCGGGGTCCCCTTTCGTGTTGAACGGCTGTGAAAAGAATAGAAAGACATAAGCTCGTTAGCGACGATACGGTGCACGGTGCAGTTCAGAGGTGCTGTCTTGAACGTATTTGTTCAGGTGCAATAGTGGGCCGATTGCCTGCCTTACCCCCTACCCCCTCTCGTCTTAAACCTAGCGGCCCTTGGGGCAAATCTGCGCCTGTGTGCGCCTCAATTAACTTCTGTGGACTTCCATTGAATAGCAGACGTTTTAGGCACAGAGGATTAGGGTAAATGTTGAACATCAAAAGGATTTAAACGCCCCGACAATGCGGAATAGCTTCAACTTTTCTCTTTTACTCTTGCCTTTTTTTTGCTCGAGATCCTTTTTTATTTTTTTTTAAAAAAAAGCTGCCCTTTTTGCCAGGGGCGTGTCCGGCTTGGGCCTGCTTCAATCTGTTTATCAACACTTACTATATACACATATAGGCCTAAAAGAGTTATAACGAATTGTCAATAGAACATTTCAGCTAATAAAAGTGGCATCCAACCGGCTTTCTTAAACCGACAGTCGAACAGTTCATATATATGTTGAAATTGAAAACTTATATATTTGTTCTATTAAAATTCATTGCGATCTTTCTTATTTGTTCAACTTCTACCAAAGAGCGTATCTACTTAAGAGGTCGCGTCAAAAAAAATATAGGTCAAGACGGACATTTATACAGCAACGTGAGGGAATGCAAGCCAATTCTCTTAAGCCCAACTCTTGTTCGAGTAAAAAAGGCAATTTGTTAGAAAAATATTGAACTGCTGTCACGGCTTTACCGGCTCGTATACTTTAAACATCCGAGTCAAAAATCAATTTGATACAAGCCGCGAAATCCGACGCACTATGTTATTCGATAAACGAGTAGCAGACGGCAGAGGGTAAACGCCCACAAGTTAAGGAGACATTGTATAGTTTGTCAGGACAGATTGCTCAGTGGGAGATCGTAAACTTACCGTCTTTGTTCATTCCAGCCTCTATGCACTTCTTTAACCGGCATGCTCTACATTGATTGCGGTGGGTCTTGTCAACTGGACAGGGCGATCCGGCTCTGTTCTTGCATACGTACTGCCTATTACGTCTAATGGAACGCTACACGTGCAAAAGCACAGGAGGAAAAAGAAAACGTCATTAGAGCATGTTCGTACATTTAATTACGCCGCGGGGGTAAAAAACGAGATACGAATCGGGTCATCATCGAATTGCTTAAAGGCTCCATTCTTCAGTCAATTGCCTACCTTCTAAAGGCCACTCGTTTCTTGCGTAAGTTTCCAAGTGGGATAAAGCTCGAATTACCCTCGAAATGATCTGACTCGCGGTAGGAATAGGGAAACGGAAGACGATCGGAGCTACTTTAGCCCATATACCCCCGCCCTTTATTGGGCGTCTCCCTCCTTCTATGCTCGTTTTTTCCCGGTAAATAAATTAGCAAGTATTGTTGAGCTTTGGGGGAGCTTTAAACAGCGTTTAATGAGCTTCTTGCAGTAGGCGTGTATTATAAAAGTGTCATTATATAAACTCAATTGGTAGCTGTCGAAAGCTCACGAACAACTTTGACTTCGAGTATTTAACTAACATTTATACAAACTCACCTTAAAAAATCCTGCGCACCTGTATTGAATAAAAGAAAACGCTTTGATCTATGAGCCAATCGATAAATTGATTTCTTATATACTAACCCATCGCAGGCGTAAATCCCGTAATGCTTGCCGCTTGAATGATCCCTGCACACCTTACACGGAACGTCGACTAGAATACGACCTGTTGAGAAAAAAGAGAAAAAGGTAGAAAAAGGGCGCTTGAAAACAATTCCCTTTGTTCGAACAACGCAGGTGCGGTTATATATATACGGACGGCTTACGGAGGCGAGAAAGAGCGAGTAAGGGAAAAGAGGAACTTTGGCTACGGAAATTAAAAAAATAAAGGGAAGTAAATGCTTTTCGGGACGCTTTATTTCACTATAGAAGCTGACCGTCTATTGTTCGCAGACGTTAAACGGTCCACCGTGGAATGTTTGCGTTCACAAATATTCCTTAAGTCAAATGAGCTGCCGCCGATTTGGCAGTTTGTTCTCGACGGTGTTCCAGCAAAGGAAAGCTTATACGGGCAATCGACGACCCTATGATGTAATAACCGTCTCTCGAGTGTTGGCATTCTTTAGAGCGGCTTCTTGGAACATTTTACAACCCTTGTTTGTATTTTCACGAAAAGAACAATATTTGTAAATGTTCTGTTTCCCGCCTTTGTTCCCGAGAATCTTGTAGGACTGAACAATTGGTAATATATTTCGGAAACGTGAGAATTATTTCAAATTGTCAAATTTTCGATTTTCATCCAATTAGCTCGATTGCGTATACGTTCGAACGTCACAAGCTGTCAGAGGATTGCGTGCATCGATAAAACGAAGCAGATCGTTTTTCCTTCCATATTTTCTTTCATTGTTGCTTCGACCCCGCTCAGAAAACGACTATCGGAAGTTGTCCGACATTCCAGAAAGCAAAGTTGCCCAGTGTTGTAGGAGATGAACGTATTAAAAACTCATGTTGAATAATGGTAGAACATCAGGCAAATTTGAACGTCGTTAATTTTGAATAGGCATGCAGCTGCCTCCTCCCTTTATCATCAATATAACTTTCGTCTTTCATTCAATTATAATACGACATTTCTCATGATTTGTACATGTCGCCGCTCTGCTTTAATTACTGGACTGGGCGGAGCCCTGTAGCTTTACTTTCAACTATCAACCAGATTAATGTCTTCATATTTTTTTCTATTATTATGAGAAGTAAAAGAAAATAGAGGACAAAAATCCGTAAAATCGTTAAATTGTTTACCAAGTAATACGAGTAATGTTTATGAATAAAAGAATTATTGATTATTTATTGATTGAATTGAAAATAACCGTCTGAAAGTCAACAAACTTTTATTATTTGCCGCTTTCGTCAAGTCCGAAAACCACTTCCGACAGCTTAATAAGACAAATTATAAAGTGTATCAATTAAGAAGGAATTTTTTCTAGATCTATAAAACATTAGTGTTTGATAAGGCAAACGATAAAAACCTTAATTAGGAAAATTCTAAAGAAACTCACTTAATAAAGAACGCTGAACTTTACATTCAAAGAGCGTGTCAAACAAAGCGAGTAAACAAGAATCGAATCGGAAAACGAAGATTAAAGGCGTACCTTAATTCTGACAAAGAAATAAAATCTACTCACTTGATGTTGGCGGAGGAGATGTCGTCGGCATATTTTTCACGTCTTCGTGTCGACGGTAATCCTGCATGACGCTTGTTCGTCTTTTGGCTGTCTTCTGCTCTTGACCTCTGACGGTTCGCGCTCTCTGCGTCATTCAAACATAAACTCCTCCCACACCCCCTTTTCACAGCTGCCTTCTCATTGGCTAATCCTGACGCGGAACTGGTATCTGATTTTCACTCCTTCCTTATTGGTTAATTCGTTCGACGCCGTCAACGTCTGACCTGATTTGCGTGACGGATAGTTTGTGTCACTGATTTTGTACGAGACTGCAGGCGTTCTCGCATACAGCTGTCTGCATAATCACTCTTGTACACCACCGTTTTTTTCATTTTGTGCATACGGTCTGGAAGAGTTGTGAAAAGGGGAGGGGGGTTTTTCTTGAGTGCGTGACTGTCTATTCCTTGTACTATTCAAAAAATGTAATATCTAGGTTGTGGATGTCCGAATGCGGACATTAATTATTTATCATGATTATAGTAAACCAGCAGAGATGTTCGTTTGCGATTAGAACGTGAGAAAATTTTGTAGCCGAAAATTTATCGCATATAATTGCGAGTGAAACAGCCTATGCTACCGGAGAAATTAAAGGCATTAAACGCGTATTGAAACGACCACGAAAGTGCAGCACGCAAATCTATTGGCGTGACCACACAGAAAAATTTCTAACGAAATCAGCGACTTCAATACGAAAACAGAACGTAATTCGAGCAGTAAAGTGCTTCAGATAGGCGCCAAGCACTTGATTGTATCGTTCATAGCGAAAGCGACGGGTATAAATAACCTCGTTCGCTTTGTAAAAAATAAAAGGGAAAAGAAGAAAACAAATAACCCTGAAACGTACGTTTCACGGATAGACGCCTCTTATTGAACGACGCTCCTCTCCAGAGACACCGCCCAAACACCTCTTGACGCTAAGGGGCTCATCGGAATGTAGCGTTACCAGTAATATCAAAAGCTTCGCCGCTCTTGTTGCTGACGTAAGGACTACTAATATCCGGACCGCTTTGAGAAAGTGGCTTCCTGATGACGCCCTGGATAAGACGGCTTAACGTTCGTTATTCGGATGATGTAATCGTCCCTAGTAGTTCGCTAATTACTTACGGAGGGCTCCGCCCGATACATGCACAAGACATAGTGACACAGCGGTTACGTAATTCGAAAGGAACACAACTCACAGTCGTCATATTGCGCGCACAACACCTGCGGTGTGACGGGAAAGTAGGCTTATTAAATCGTTAATAAGAAACAGCAACTCAGCATTATGGATTACGTAAACCGTTGCTGACGGTCATTAATGGAATGTCTTTGTAATCCTCAGCATGATAATTTCCTGACATGTTAAACGAGTGAAAGGTGGTCAATGTAATGGTCCTGCATAATTGCGTGAGAAATGCGTACAATATGCGGTGCATGCATGCGTACATACGTTCACTTTTTTCTTGAAAACATTCAAAAAAGAAACGATTACGAGCAATAATGGCAAAAGCAAAAAGGGTCGCCCTTCAGGGTAAAATGATTATACTAACTTTTCGAAATCCAAAAATCAGAGGGAGAACCTCAACATTTACACCACCCCCCTTTCCATTAGTGGGGTGATAGACCACGGTAAATAAAGCGCGTACTGTATTAGGAATGTACCAAACATTTCAACACCTGTCCTGTATTTTGTACATTCAAACTAGGCAACTTTCTGACTATTTGCGCATCGTGACTGCTTTTTGGAAATCGTTTTCGGGGTTGGACTCATCCTCTGGGAAAGCTATTAAAGTTTATTTAGATCTGGTTTTTTTTACAAGGTGAGAACAAATACATTTTACTCGATATACAGTAAAAAATATGACCGATAAAATACAATAAAAAGTGAGAAAGAAAGTTTTGAAAGAGGAGGAGGAGGCGGAGGAATATTAGCCCGACTATACACACTGTTAAACAATTAAGCCAGTCTCTCCTTGTATATATAAGCACGCTGCTCACCTGGCCATTTTCACCTCGTTTGTTACCCGGGGGGTTTATTATACGCGGACGTCCCCGTACGCTACTGTTATTTCATACAACATATTAATTATAAGGGAAAGAATTTTTCGTTACGCGGGAAAAGAGAAAAATATTATTTATCAATAATCATATATTCAACAAAAACACCAATGAATAAATGCTATTTATCTATTAATACCTAAAAGAGTCTATTAAAATGTATATGTTTATTCACATATTCAAATGCATTAAAATCTCTTCTGGCCTTTTATTTTTTCTAATAATCCGATCCACTCTTCTCTTTTTTTCCCTACGCCCCCTTCCCTCCTCAGCTCACCTCCTCTTCAAATACCTTTTTTCGAAAAAAAAAACCCAAACGCCAATATCCGCTCTTTAACCGCACGAACATATTGTCGACTGCTGCTGCTGACACGTTTTTTATTTGAACAAGCGTCAACAAGCAATCAGCTAACACTATTTTATCACCCAACATTCGACATGGGAAGGGATTAATAATGAATATACTGTTTATATAAAACTTTGAACGGTTTTTTAAAATAAGATATTGTCTGCCAAATTTTTTTTTAATATTTATTTACTATATGAATATGAATTTTTTTACTTAATCTTTTCTACTTTCTGTCATTTCGTCTCCTTTTTCTTCACCTTATCTCTTTCTTCGTACAAACGCTATAATTGTAAACGCGTGAATGATTTTGCGCTTGAATAAAACTGTTTTATTTGGCTTTCGATTTTTTTCGGTGTATGGCCGTCTGTACGCCTATTCAATTCCTATTCAACAATCCAGTGGAGATTTTACCGGCAGTTTTTCTTTATAACAAAGATGGAAAAGAGCTTAATCTAAGGTGAAAAAAAGAGCATACGGAAGGACGTGTGCACATGAATATGCTTATTTGAGTTTATATATAAAGTGTATTTTTCGTCTTATGCATGTAGTATGCATAGGTTTTCAGATTTAACACTTTAAGTTTTATATTTATCTTTTACACTTTACACTCAGATGCTATACGAACTTGTGAAATATATAGGGTATACATACGGAGCGTATAGATGACGCTAGTATCGTTTAACATCCAAAACAACGCCTTCTGTAGGTAACATTCCAGAATCCTTATAGTCTTTTACCAGGTTTATCGCCATCTGCCAACAAGCTAATAAAAGTCTACAATGACAATCTAACGTGTCAATCTTAATAAGTAAAATTATTGCACACTTTATTTAAAGCGAATACGGTTGTAAAAAATAAAATCGGCTAGAATTTTACAGACTTTTTTGAAAGGGAAGAGTGCAGTGTAGGCCTAAAGTTATTAAAAGTCAATACTCCGAAGCAAACACTTCATGCGTAATTACAAAGAAAAACTAATACATGAATTTAAGAAGGAAACTGTAATAAATTTTTAAAAATATTGATAAAAATATCATTAAGTCTAGTCGGAGGGGATAGTTTTCTTATATATCTTTTTATTTTATTTGAAAAGTAGACTATATAGCGTGACTTCTTTTATGTATAATCTTTATCACGCACTATTTACAAGGTCTATAATGTATAAAGTATATAAAAAAATATATATATATATCCGGTGAATAAATTATTAAAAAAGAGTGCCCTCAACACAAACTTAATTGAACTTAACTTTTTACATATCATTGTTATCGTAGTAACATTTAACACTGTAAATATTTTTACATTTAGATACATGTGATAAAAGGGAGATAATTTCGAGGAAATTTAGCATAACCAAAAATACGAATACAATCATTGCGTACTCCAGCGTTCGGAAAGACAAGATTCGATAATTTTACAAAGCAATTGCTGTATTCTGCCTTTTTTAGGAGAGGGAGTAGGGGATTTTATCTACCAGCCAGAATCACCTTCAGTCTATTTTTATAGCGGCGCACAGAGCGGTAAGGAAACTGCCATCGCCTCTACTGCAAAATAGTAATGAACGTGCCGTCGATCGTATTCTTTTTGCTCGTTACAAATATTGGTATGTAAAAATTTTTTACATTTTCTTCTTTAGCCTAATTGTTGTTTGGTAACTAATCTTCATAACAAAAAAACACAAACAAAACGAAAACATATAGATTGATATTTTTTAAGGAAAAAGACAAATTAATGAAGAAGAGAATGAAAATAAAAGAATATCATATTAGTAGACATATAATGAAAAATATAGAAATGTAAAAAATCGCCAGTTTCTTATTAATATTCCTTTCAACGTTCATAAAAGAAAGTAATAAAAGGTTTTTTCAAATGAAAACGATATTGAAATGCAAAGGTAAATCCTTCAATATCTTATCTAGTTATTATATTCTTACCTAAGAGTGATTAGCAGCTCCATCAATTATTTGGTTACTTATATAACATTACATAATCGGTTTACACTGCCTTAGTATGATGAAAGTTTTCAATAAATTAGCTTAGACTGAACGTCAATATTTCATATATAACTTTAAGGAATACGTCTAGATGATAAATAATATTAACTAGATAAACGTCTATTATTAAAATAGTGGTAAATCATTGTACAAACCACGTAAAGCAAGTATTTTAATATCTTGATAAGAGAAATATAATGGGAGGATTAGCGAAATACTTAACCCGTCTTAGATTTTAAATCGTTTAATTGATTTATGTTTACATATTAGACAAAAAGTTCAATAAGTTTACCTTTTTTATAATTTATTGTTTATAGAATATTTATAAATATGACTGAAATAAATCCCCGACTAAAACAATGCATTAGAATATCAAACTAGACTTTTATCTTGTTCTGAATGATTCCAAACATATAGATAAAGTAGTAGTTTGATATTTCAATAAGGTAGTATGTAGAAGGATTTTTTTACTATATACTTGTAAATTATGGAGAGAAAATGAAAGAGCAATTGGCGTTTAATATTCACTTTCTAGTTTACGAACTATCTATTCGTTTAAGAGATAAAAAAGGTCACTCGCTCTTTAAACTCTCTTTTAACCCTTCTTTGTCAATTCTATTCTATAAACACCTAGTTGTAGCATTAATATCTAAATAGAAAAATCATCACTGTTAAAGGTTACAATTTTCACACTTAAATAGTTATTCATCATCATTATATAGGCTATACCGTATATATATATATATATATATATATATATGTGTATGTTTGCTTTTCCTTGCCTCCGAGAATTTGTCATTGACTTGTAAAAAAACATTGACGAATTTCTATGCATAGACACCATTTTATAAAATATTTTGTTTTTAGATTTTATCTTTTTTGATCCCTTTTAAATATCCTATTTTTTTTACTCTTTGTACATTTTAGCTATAATCCCTATTTCATTTTTGATGATAGATTTTTATTGAAATTCGATATAAAGACTTGAAAAGACTATTTCTGGGAAAATATAGAAAAAAGCACTTATTTTTTTTTATTTTTCCTAATTTTTATATTTTTTGTGTTTTATTTTATTAGTATCAACTTGGCAAAAGTGTTCCTTTCCGCACTATTTAACGAGGGGAGATGATGTTTGGACATTTGGTACAATTTATGAGGATTTTTCCGAAAAATGGCTTGAAAGAACGGAAATATACTCTCCTCAAACGGATAAATTGCTTTTTGAGAGAAAGAGTAAAAAGACCGAACGTTGCCATGGGCGAAAATTTTGTTCTCCTACAACAATTTTACTTTATAACTGGGAATGTCTGGACAGTCTACCGCATCATTTGTTTGTTATCAAAGAGAACAGGTAAGTACATCAATGGTTACATTGGCAAGTGCTAAACAAGTACATAACATAAATATTTTTTTCGTTTTAAACTGTCAATATTTGTTTTAAGCTATACATTTTCTTTCAATAATCTTACAACTATCCCTCTAAACATACTCTTCCATTAATAAAAATAATGATAATTGTTATAATCATCAGGAACGACAGCAGCTCAAGTCAGTATCTTTGTGTTAGTATACGAGCAGTTGATGGACAGAATGTCATTCGCGTTAGTTCAGGTAGGCAAATTACTTTATTTGCATTTAAATTAGTAAACGCTTGTTTCCTTATGTTTCTTCATCTTTCATCCTATAAAATTTGTAATTGCTATTCGGTCTACTTTATATGCATGAAATTCACCAATCAACCATTAAGTATTAGAATTGAGTCCAATAAAGCTAAAAGTTAACTACATTTTTTAGCTAGTTTAGAGGATTCTGCTGCGAAATTCTGTTATGGACAAGTGGCTTTATCGCATCATAAACGTCTGTGGATCAGTAAGTATAAATTTATGGGTATTAACAAAATCCAATATTTGTCAGTAGGGCAATCACTTAGTTTTCTAATAATCCCAATTTGAATACGTTAAATTGGTAAGATCTAATCTCTCAAAAAGCTTACAATGTTTGCTGTTACGCAATTTTGTTGATTACATAATATATCAAATAGGCTAAGGAGATGAGATGTGTCGCGTGTATAAATACTTTTGCTCAGCTTTTCTCTTTATTAACGTTATTGTTACTGCACATAGTCGATCAGCAACGTTCCTGGCTCCCGTGTCCTAAACTCGGTGGATATTTGTTCGAAATTATTGGAGGAGAAAAGGTAAATTTGAGCATCTTCATTATAGTCTATAATAATTTAATTACGTATCCTTCTTCGGGTAATTATTAGTCTTCGTGCCCGAATTCCAGGAAATATTCAAGATTGGAAAGTGAGTGTTCGTCTACGGAGGGATTACTCATGTTTTTTCGAGCAGCGGAATGTAACCCATTCTCAAATTACAAGCATAAATTTGCAAGATTTCTCTGTTGGGCTGATTGGATTGAAAACAACTATATTCATATCGTTTTAGGCTTTCATTCAAATTCAGCTCGTTACTTGCTTGTAAGTTATTTATTATAATTATCCCAGAGTAGCACAACAATCTTGAAACTCATTAGTAATTGAGATTATTCAAGTGAGCATATAATTGTATAAAGTAACCTTTTATAAGTAGAATTTTTTACTTTCCTTAAACAACCTTACAATAAAAGCAACTCTCAGCGCGAGATCGTACCTCGAAGCTTTTTCCTCTAAGGCTTTAACTAAGCCTAATTATGAGAAGAAAACTTTTTTAAGGGTAATAAATTCTATAAAATAATACAAATAAGTAAGAGGGAAAAAAGCGAAAATAGACTGGAAAACTTAAAAGTTCTATATAAATACATTATCGGAAAGCATATACTGATTTTTAAATAATACATATTAAATGAATATTTCTAGAAAATACCACGCCACCTATCTAATTCTCCGAATCACGTTACAAATGCAAAGGTATTTACGAACGTGATAATTCCTAAAGAAGAAGAGGAAGAATCACTAGAAGTTCATTTCTTTCGGCTACGTTTAAAAAGGAGTGATAATGGTCCCTGTTTTGACAATAATATTGACTGCAATAAGATAGTCAAAAAGAAAAAATGCAATATTAAAAGATTTGCCCGTCACTGTCAAAAATCCTGTGGTTTTTGTCAATTCCTTCTTCCCCCTGAGTCAAAGTGTGAAATGCCAGAAAATATTATAGGTTCGTGGACGTGGTACGAATCTCAGTTTTACGAAACAGTTAAGTTTCTAATAAATTCCCAGTTTTTTTTTCTTTCGGCTTAGCGTAAATCTCATTAAATTTTTTATTATTAAATTCAAACTTAACAGGTTAATATTGATAGAAATAGTATTAAATTTGATAAATTCGGCACTTTTACTTGTAAGTCAATTAGTTTTGAAAGGAATTTGTTTATTGCTGTCGCGAACTCTGAACATGGATGGTAATTAGTTTTAACTTTCGTAGTTTATTAATTATTCATGATTTTTGCTGCAAAATAGCTCAACAAGATATGTCTGCTTTAATATAAAAAGACTGGATTATGATTTACTTTCCTTAAGAATTTGTAAGTTAAGCTAAGCGCCATCTGTTTTTTTCTACAATCCTTACTCGAGAGCAATAATGTTTTCTTTTGTTAAATAGCTCATACAAGTTTCGATAAGCGGGCAAGTTTCGATGAAATGTGTTTGTTTAGAGATGACCCTAAACCAATTGGGAGAATAATACATTCAAGTAGTTCTAAAATTTTGTTACCAGATAGCAAAATTGCCATTAAAAGTTGCGGATTAGACGGAACCATTATGACGACGTTTAATTTCGCAAAAGGGGGTATCCACTGTGATGGAACATTATCAGATTGGAATAGACAAGAATGCAATCCGTCGAATACACTTCAAATGAAAACCAAATCTTGTTCCGATACAGAGCAATATAATTTAGGTATAGCATAAGCTGTTTACGTTTAGTCAATTCATTTTTAAGAGAAAATAGGCGATTTTATAATTAATAAATTGATCAAATAATAATCAGATTTTAACTGCGAAGCTTATTATAAGATAAATAAAGATAAAAGTTATCTGATCACGAGCTATGGAAAGCATAAACCTCTCCATTATAATTGCTGGGTTATCGATTTGACTCCCATTAGAGGCTCTCAGTTTTCTTGGATTCAAGCAGTTCGTATGAGAGACGCTCAATGTAGCTTATTGCATGCGAGAGAGCTAATCGATGTTTCAACTGTCGACGTTACAGTATGGTTGCAAAAAGGTAGTTTTTATTTCTTAAGTCTTATAAAAAATGAGTAGGCCTACCGCTACTGAAAATTTTTCCCATAGATTACAGAGAAAAGATGTGCGGAAATTTGAGAAATGATTCTACGACCAGAAAAAGCATTTGTAGGTATTTATGACACAGGCTTTTTTATTGAAATAGAATAATTTTGATTTGAATAGACACAAGGAATGATTCGCATACAATATCTATGAGACAAGATAAGGATCCAACAATTTATGAGAAGGTAGATAGAGGCCTAGGAAGAAATTCAGCACGTCAATATCGTTCAAAATTAGTCTACACACTCTTTCAACAAATGGCTATCATTCAGCTAATAAACGAGTTTTGGCAGCTAAAATGGTTAATTTATACGAATTCCTACGAAATAACTTAAGAATGTAGCGTTAAAGACGAAGATAAGGGAAAATTGAGAGAGAAAGAGACAAATTCTTCAGCAAGTTCCAAGTTATGCGCATTGAATATTTTAATTACTGAGATAAATTATAATTATAAAATTTTAATGTATTAATGACGTCAAAGACATTTTTAAAGAAAATCAGTGAAAATATACACAGTATATATATACACACGTATATATATATATATATATATATATATATATATATATATATATATATATTTATATATAAATGCTTTAGTATTTTGATATTTATTACAATAATAAGACCTAATTCATTACATAGTACACAAAAGATAAAATATTAATTATGCTAAGATACGATAAAAATTCAAGGATCAGAAATGTGGAACGTCGAAAGGATATTAAAAAGTAAATTTTATGTTAATTAGACCATCAACATTCAATTTTATAACGTTTATTCAAAAATAATGTCTTAGAGCAAGGGGAGAATCTTCAGAAGCATTTAAAAGAGCTTTTGAAGAAAGAGATTACACGGAATGTTGCTATATGCCGTCCGGTTCAGCCCATTTAGGTCGAATGAACAATGGGCGACAAGAGGGAGTTACCGACCGCGTCTCTTCAGCTGGCTACATGAAAAGTGACAATCAGCCGTTAAGGCAACAACAAAGGGAATTTATGAGTCGAAAGAATCGGATGACAAGTACTTTGCACACGAAGAACACTTTTAATTGCTTGGATAAAAATGGTCCAAAGAGCGAGAATTGACGGCGTCCAATATTAAAAGAGCGTAGAATTTTTGTATTGACAGTATTGATTATCGATATACGATTATAGCGCCTTGTGCATTTATAAAGCCAACGTTTCAAATTGTTGTGCTATTCACACAGCAATTAGTGTACCACCACCACAGCTTTCGCTCTCTTTCTCTATCATTATTCTCAGCTAGAGTTTCGTCCACGTTTTATAAACATGAAGATAAAAGAAAACTTTGTGATTATTCTATTGAAATATTAAAATTATATATATATATTTATATATATAAATCAAAAGAAAATATATTATAAATAAGGAATCGGGACGAAAAAATAAACTACTGAAAAACTTTTCCTATGTTGAGAATGTTAAATAGTTATTGCTTTTTACCTCCGATTAGGAAAGGAGGTGGACGGTTCAAAAAGAAATACGAAAAGAAATTAGAGAAGGAGAGAAATTTTATGTATCCTTCTCTTCCTCCACTTCCATCGAAAGGAAGATCGATTGAAGAGGAAGTTAGAAGTTTTAAATTATGGAATAGCTTAAAACCTACTGTTACTAAAGTACACGATAGTCTCCCAACCTTAGAAGGTAAATATTTCTCTTATTTTTCCGGCTTGTTTGCTCTAATACTCGAGTAAGCAGACTGCCTGTTAATTATAGAAAGTATACGTAAATGATATGTTATTTCTATAAAATGGAGACTCTTCATAGGGTTATGCGAATGTAAATTAAGAGCATTTAAGAAAAATATTATCATCTTCAAGTATTTCAATCAAATTTTTCGGGCAATATTTACACCTCTTTCTATTTCTACACGAGACTTTTTTCTACTCACCAAAGTATGAACAACTTAAAGCATATCTTCTAATAATAATTATAGTATAAATACCACGTGACAAGCTGATTAAATAAACTATTATTTATAAATAAAAAGCGTTATTTGTATATATTTTAATTAAATGAAACAATTTATCTTTTATAGTGGTATTAACCGAAAAAATTGAAATGAAAAGGAGCGAAAATAAAAGGAGAGGAACGGTTTGTTTAGCTGTTAATAGTCCAAACGTTGGACGGGGAGTTATTGATCCTCTAGCCCGGCGGGGCAGTAGAGCTCCTGCTCTCCCCTCTTTCCCATTTACACTTGATACTCCTAGAATAGAGGAATAGAAAAACATTTAATTGAACATGGCTTTATTACATTGCTAATAAATTTTTATAAATAAATAAATTGAATTTGAAATGACAGTTTTTCAATTTAATTAAGTTTTAATTGATATAAAATAAAATTAGATTAGATTTACCAAACAAACAAAATAGACAAAACACATTCGATATATTTGAAAAATAAGATGAGAAACGAATCATTATAATCAGCGGTTCGTTTCTTTGAAGAAGTCTCCTTTTAATTCTTTTGGGATAAAAATAAGATTACGCATTACGAATCACTTAAAAAGGGAATCAAAGATAAAATCCTTCGTAAGGGCGAAAAATTGGAAAGGTGATGAATCCCTTAAAGAGCTAAATCCTGTAAGAAGATATTGTATAACACTTGCACTTGAAGTCGTGTATGTTGCGGGGTTATGACTTTAAAGGGAAAAATTAGAAGGAAGGATTAAAAAGATATTTCAAGTCACACGATAAGTTATTTTTAACAGCTAATCCTGCTTTTATCGCCTCGAAAGTTATAACTGAAAATGTTTTTTTTGGTATTACGTAATATCTTGTATTCAACATTATACAACTTGAATCATTGAACATTAGAATGAAAAATCGAAAAATTTAACTCAAAAGATTAGAGCAAAGATCTGCTCTTAGGACAATTCGCAGAAACATTTGTCTTGGGGACAGTTGGGAGGGAAATGAGCGCAATTGAGTTCACACCATTTATCTTTGTTTGGATCTCCTAACCACTCTCCGATTCCTCTACATCTTACACCTGAAAAATGAATAAAATTTTATTCAATCCTATTCATTAAGAAAGCGGGAGTTTTACCTGGAATTGATGACGGCCAAGGTGAAGGAGTTGGGTCTGTTGCTGGAACGGACGGTGTTGGACCTGCTGTGGCAGGTGGGGGGAAATTCTTACCTATAGCCACGTCAGAACATCCATAAAATTGTTCTTGAGGTCCGCAGCCAACGCATCCAGATCCTGATCCTGGATCCTGACCCCATGAATTACCACAATTCCACTTCCATTGTATGACACAATTTTGACACTCAAGATTGTCGGGGAGCTTGACCTTAAAATGATATGGCTTGTTTTCCGATTGTAGAAGATGCCATCTCTTTGAGCCATCTTCAAATTCGAGGATATTGTTGTCAAAACATTCGTTGGTTATAGGACTATTTTGTAATGACTAATGCTTTAGTAATTGTAAAAGTGCCTATTAACAACAAAACTTACTTTCCAGCTGTGTCTTGACTACATATTCTAAATTCAAACCATCCCCTATGATTAGCGGTGATTTCAACAGTAATGTCTATAACTTGTCCTGTTTGATATAGTCTTGTAACAACACCATTACCAAATTTACCGCCGAATTCATTATCCCTTGGAGTAGGTTGATTCCACGGATCTCCACATGGACCGCATTTACCTTGCATAGGTCCGTGTTGATGCTGTCGACATATTTTTTATAAATTACTATTGTTTTAATAAATGATATTGAATTGCTTACTCCTGCTCCTCCGCAATTCAATTCATTGTCATTGTAGTTAGGTGGATTATCAAAGCCGTCTCTCCACATACTGCTTCTCGACGGTGGTTCTCTTAGTCTACCATGGGCATTAATAGAACTTGGTATTACTGCTAACCCGAATAAAATACAATAAAATAACTTCATCGTTATGGTTTAAAGTTATGTGAATAATGATAAATTGTGCATTTTATACTTTGATGGTGTGGGTTACAGCATCAGTTTATCTAGAAAAAAAAGCAAAACAACCGTAATTAAACGTACTATCTATCCTTTCAAATCTACAACAAAAAAGATTAATACATTTTACTAGTTCAATAAATAAATAGAATGTAGAATATAAGAATAAAGGCAATTTCTAGAATATATAAATAGTATTAAATTATTAAAAGCATATAATCTCATTCAAAAGACTATAAAAATGTGCAAAAACCTAAGAAGGAATAGAATAATACTAATTTTTTTTGTTGTGTTCTAAGTTAAAAATTATATTTTCTATAATTCTTTTCTACCATTCAAGCTCTAGGTGAAAAAAAGGGTGCTTAGGAGAAGTATATTTAAACGATTCTTTATTCTATTCACTCTGTTTAGACTTACATTCCGATAGTTTATAATTACTTTTGTTAGCAAGCTATTCGGAAAGAATAAGGTGAAAAGTTTCAATCATATAGCAATATTATTTGAATTCCAAAGTTAGTTAATAATCGACCTTCCTTTTTTTAGTTTTTCGTCAATCATTTTTTGCTTGAATAATTTAGTAGCATAAAAAAAAGAAGTCCATTGAAAATAGTTTTTGTAAAGAAACCCAATGCAAGTGCCCTTACATTGAAGTAATAATGTTTTCAAATTTTTTTTTGGGCTTGCCATACAACAGCAGGTGATATTTTGATAAAGAAATTGCGTTATCTTGAATATTTCTTTTTTTGAAATATGCGTTCACTTAAAAATAAATTGCCATGGTTTAAACAAAACTTAAGTGTTATCTATAAAATTAATAGAAAAAAATAGTCCTGTAATTTTCCCTCAATGATAAGATATTGATTACAAAGTTTCAAAGACTAAAAGGCATAGAGCAATTTATTTCTATTGTTTAAGTTACGCTAATAATTAGTGTTTATTTATTTAGTCAATCGTCGTCATTATCTTGGAAATGTTGATCAATAAAAAACTCTAGGACTTGTTTATCATTTAATTCCTGTCCCATCTCAGGTTGAAGGTTAAAGTCTTTCGCGTCGTATTCTTCCCTTAGTCCTCTCATTCCGTGAAATTCTCCATTAAAATCCAATCTTCCCAACGGGGGCAGTCTTAAATAAACCATTTAATGAATATAAACAAAACAGGCGATTTGAAATTGTGTACTACCTAGCTTCCGTTAAATAAAGAAAGAATAAAGATAAAAGCAGCGTGAATTTCAGAGCGCAATTCATCTCTAAATGACTGTAAACACGAACGACAAACAACGCCCCTTTTTTTGTGAAAACCTACCTTTTCGCATGCAAATATTGTGTTTTTGTATAGGCTGACCTAATTATATGGTTTATCTAGAATTAAAAGTAAAGGACGAATTCAAGCTTCAAAGTTCAAGATTATCAAATAAAGAATAAATAGTAGTTTATGTTCTAAATGTTAGGTCATTCACACAGTTACAAAGAGAAATTATGGAGGAAGTAAAGAACATTTCGTTAACTTATCCAAAATTTATTCACAAAGCCTGGGAATATCTATACGACGACTATTTCCAGGGAGACGAATATTCATTGGCAGTAAACGGTATATAGATTTATACATTATTCTTTAATCAAGTGATTTGAACTGTTCAAGTAAAATTGCATTCTGTTGACAGGAACATTTATTTCTAGCAATACTGTTTTCTTCACTATATGTGCATTATTCACATTAGTCGATTGCACTAATAAACCACAGTTTATTAGTAAATATGTTATGCAATCAAGGGAAAAACCGGTAAATTATATTTAATATAATGATCATGTCAATGTTATAAAGGTATTTTAAAAAACTTTAGGTACAGTTACGCTCTGCTTTAAAAGCTTGGCTCTTGGTTCTATTCAATCAAATAATTGTCGCTTATACATTCCTACCACTTATGTATTATTCTTTTAAGTTAAGAGGGAACAGCTTTGCTAAAACCTTACCCAGCATACCCGAGACAATTTTACATGTCATAGGCTTTAGTGCCGTTGAGGAGATTTTCTTTTATTATACTCACAGGTATAATATTTACACAGTTTTGTGTCTATTTATATTCGAAAGAATGCCCGACTGACACATATTTTTTACAAACATCTTTTAACAGATTACTGCATCACCCAAAACTTTATAAACATATCCATAAAATACACCATGAATGGCAAGCACCAATTGCTATAGCTTCCCTCTACGCCCACCCATTAGAGCACTTACTATCAAATCTGTTTCCAGCAGTATTGGGACCGATAGTTTTCGGCTCTCACGTATTATTGGCTATGGTATGGTTTACGACTGCTCTAATTTCAACTATAATCTCTCACATGGGATATCACTTACCGTTTCTCCCATCAACCGAACATCATGATTATCACCATTTAAAATTTACAGACAATTTTGGAGTTTTTGGCATATTAGACAGACTTCATGGAACTGATAAGAAATTTAGAAAATCGGTACAATTTAAAAGGCATAAAATTTTACTTGGAATGGAGCCTTTAATTGAAACTATACCCAGTCTAAAAACACAATAATTCTTAATATCGTATATAATCTAATAACATGATGACGTAACGTTTATTAGTAAATAATGATTTTTTTAAGTGAATAATCCAAAGGAATTGAAAATGATATGCTACTTATGTCTAATTTATAATTTTAAATACAATAAGACTATTTCTAATCCAAATTCTGATATATTTACTTTTTAAGAAGTGATTTTTATGTACTCTTTATAAGAAGATTAAATATAATACTATAGTCTCAAAATCTAAGCTCAATAATAAATATACTTGAACTTTTCTGCAAGCAGATGGCGTCACTGAACTATTTCTAAAGAGGTTATCGATTTGTACTGTACCGGATTTCTCAATATTTTGCAAAAGATTATTGTAGATATATCAATCTAATAAATAATCAGTTCAAAGTTTAGGGTGTCAGAAAGAACACATCATCTAAGTAACATGTTGCAGTCCATCTGGAATTTAGTTTATTCGGATATATTTCGTGAAAATCCATTTAACGTCACAGTTTATGGTAAAGATATAGATTTAATTGCGTAGTAAAAGTATTTATTATATAAAAAACATATTAATATATACTTAATATGTACTATAGATATATAAATTAATAAATATAGACCCTGTTATAAGCATAATTATTTTATAATTATATGTTGTTAGGGTCATTTTTAATCGGAAACGGTTTCTTTTTTGGCCTTTCTGCTATCTTATCTGTAATTGATTACACTGGAAAACCGAAATTTTTCACTAAATACAAAATTCAACCAAATCGAAATGCTCCGGTAAGAAAATAGTTCCGATATTTAGTATTACCATATTTGTATTTATTGTAATTTAGGTTGAACCAAAGACACTTTTAAAAGCTTGGCTTTTATCGTTATTTAACCTTATGATTGTTGGTCCTCTTTATATGATTGGGATGTTTTATCTTTTTCTCTGGAGAGGCAGCCAATTTTCTATCAAATTACCAGCCTATTCAACAATTATCAAAGAAATGGTAATATTTATTGCAATTGAGGAGATTCTCTTCTATTATAGTCATAGGTGAGATAACTTATAAATTGCCATTATACTGTAAACAATTACAATGATACTTTTTTTTAATAGATTATTACATCATCGTCTCTTTTATAAGCGAATTCATAAAATCCATCACGATTTTCAAGCTCCGATGGCAGTGACTGCTGTCTACGCCCACCCAGTTGAGCACATAGTTTCAAATTTAACACCTATTATTGCTGGTCCATTAATCTTGGGTTCTCATATTGGAGTCGTCCTTCTGTGGTTTATAATAGCTTTGCAAGCAACAGTAATCGATCACATGGGATATCATTTACCATTTGTTAAATCGCCAGAATTCCATGACTATCATCACTTAAAATTCACCTGCAATTTTGGAGTGTTAGGATTCCTTGATTGGTTACACAAAACTGATTTAGCTTTCAGGCGTTCTAAGGCTCATCAGAGGCATAAAATCTTGCTTGGTTTTACACCTCTGAGCCAATCGATTCAATAAAGAAAAGAAAATTGTTTTTTAATATAAAGATTTCATATTTTTCCTTTGAGGTTGCTAAGATACCTATTGAAAAGCTTCTAAAACTTGCGATTATTAGCATAAGCCTATAAACGACTTGTAAAATAAAATAAGCACAATAAGTTATTCCTGCTTGTAATAAATGGCCGGCAAACGTGTTGACTTGTTTAAATTTTCGACAGGCTTGTCAATTTATAGGAGGAGTTTAAATGTTAGCGTTTGAATAGGAGATAAATATTTGCTATACTCGTTCCATAAGCCAATTATACATAATTCTTAACCATGGACGAGGTAATAGCGGAAGAAACAGAAGAAGTTTCTCCAGATCATGAACAGCCAGTTTTAAGAGGAAAAGAGTTGTTTAAAAGTGCTATTTTACGAGTAATTGAAAAATATATTTTAGCTGGTAAGAAAAAGTCTAGATTAAGAAAGATTAGCAGAAAAGAACCAACAAATCTGAGTTCTTCAAGTAAAAATGCAGCAACAAACAATGACAAGAAACAAGTTCGAGTTAGAAAAATATCAGCTACTAAAGGTCCGTCATTACCGCAGATTACCAATCAAAAACTTCCATCAGAGAAAAAGGTTAAGAAGAGTACAAATAATGCCTTAAATGCCCAAAATGGCTTTGGAAATATTGTAAAATTAGCTAGTATTAGAGATAGAATGTTTGGAAAGAAGAAAGAGAATTCTAAGGAAGAAATCCAAGAAGATGAACCTAAAAAATTACCGTCAAGGTCAAGATTTGTTAGTAAACTTTCACCGGAAGCGCAATATTCTATGTTGAAGGGATACGAGGACGTGATAGTAAAGGATTTGGGGAAGTTGTATCCAGAGCATTTAATTGCTTTTAATGAACAAAGAGCGGTTACACCAGCTAATAAGAAGTGCTCATTAAGCGAAATTGGGGAAAAAGTTAATGAGGGAGGAGCTAATGAACTCAAAGACCAAAGTACTCCGAAAACTTTAAAGACAAAAAAACGTCTTAACAAAGTTCATCTTCCCTTACTTCAAAATACTTCTGTCATTAAGCAAAAGCGGCTGACTTATAGGTAAGAATAATGCGATGTAAATTATTCCGTTACGAAGTAATACGCATTTTCTCATCCTTTTGTACTTCTTCTATTAACTCTCTTTATGCCCTACTTATTAAGAGAAAAACGTATAAAAATAGCATTTAATTTTTTTACCCAGATTCGAAACTGCACAGGATATAATTGACGCTTTAAAGAGTAAAAAAGGACTCATAGTCACTTCACCCAGATATAAAACCCAGCAAAAAAACCCAGTCAAAGATTTTGGCACGTGGAGTTATAATTGGACTAGAGAATTTGTTTTAAAAACAAGGCAGGGTGGAATGTAACCAAGAAGATAGTTTCATTCCCTATATTCTACTAGAATAAATATTAACCGAAAGTTTAAGTGCTTTATAAACAAACTAAAGGAGAATATTACATAATCAAACTTCACGTATCTTTAGACTCTTTTGATTTATTTCTATTCAAATAAAAAGATATATTGTATTTTATCAAAATCTATACTAATTAAATATAGTATATTGATTACTGATTTTTGAAATATGATATGCCAATACCTTCTAAAAACTCTCTTTATTGTTGATAATGCGACTATCAAAACAAAATAGCAGCCTACAAATTAATCAATGAACAGTGCATGACCCTTCTAGGGGTCAGGTATTTATAAACACATAAAGTGTCTTAACCAACTTTTAGGATTATCTTGAAAAAAGGGTAGCGGGTGGTGATCTTTATAGGACTATTCAAGATTGAATACATTATTGTGATTGGAGTTTACTCGTTTGGGTTATAAAAGGCTTGTTTCTCAGAGTAGGCTTTTTCTATTATGGCAAGTCAGGCTCACTTACTCTCTCTCTCTCTCCTTCGCTTTCTCCGATATTTTACAATTATTGAACGTCGCAATTTCTACAAGATTAGAAAAATTTAAGCCAAAATATAGGTTTATTAAATTTATTTTATCTTATCGAAAACATACAGCTATATAAATCTATTATCAACAGTCAAACAGAAGTAGCTCTAAAGATGAAAGTTATTTCGGAAATTGAACCCGATCAAGAGATCGTAAAGGAGATGGAAAATATGGATGAAAGGAAAGAATTAGTTGGCCATTTAAACTCTATTAATAAATCAGGTAAATTAATACTCTTTTGCAATCTATCACTTATTAGTTTTAATTTGGATAAAAATCAAACACTAGGAGCTGAGAGTCCAAGTTTATCACAAAAAGGCTTACATAGATTTCAACAAACTGGATTGAAAGTTATGGCGGGACTTGCTCTAAACAAGAATCTCAGCGGAAGTAATCCTTCCATAAATTGTACTCCACGAACAAGAAGACCCAGCCTTGGAACTATTGTTAAAGCTAAAACTCTTCACAACAGAGTAAAAAAGAAATTGCACGATGAAGAATCGCAAGAAAAGATTCCAGAAAGGGTAAGATTTGGAGCTACACTCTCAACTGAAGGGCAGTATGCATTATTAAAATGTTACGAAGATCTGATAATCGAAGAATTGGATGTGAAAGTACCTCGGTCTGATACACCTAGTCGGGTTACGCCTCGCGAAACTACCATTGTTTCGAAACCACCCATAAAGCATACTCCTGCTGTAATGAGAGAGAGGAGTCAAAGCTTATTCCCTGAGGGCCCCCAACTTACAAGAGCAAGTCCTAAATTTGATAAAAGCATTAGAAGAATGTCCCTACCTGCTGATTTACCATCGAGAGAACTAAAAGTTACATATCGACTAGAAAAAGGACAACAACTTTTAGATGAATCGCGTCTTAAAAAGAATACAGTGACAGAGGAAAATTGCAAGAATCGTCAAAAATTCAACCTGTGGAGTACTACTTGGAGTAGGGAATTCCATACCGATGATATCTCTCAATCTTCAGAAATCCTTAGAAGATTGCAATTAAACGGATAAAGGAATAACATTTATATTCCCCTTATCTCTTTTATTGTGCAGTGTTTCAGTTGAGTTATGCTATATATTCCGTATTTTGTGATATCTATGTTTTCATTGTTATATTACATTTTAATCTATTTTGTACCTATTTTATACCGGATTATGAATAATTATGGATTTAAGTAGGACCTCATACTATCGTTTGTTTATGTTTAATAGAACATGCCCAAACAGATTCTATCAACATATCAATCTTAAATTTGCAATTAAAAAAGATAGGATATAGGCAAAAAGTACTGCCTCACTATCTTAAGCTGTTAGAATAGCCTTCTATTGATCATTCCATTTACAGAATATTTAACACTTCATTACCAAAAATTCTCCACAAAAGAGTATTATAGGCTTGACAATAATCATCGATATAACAACGTTCATTTTAATAAAATTTCTCTAAAAGGAAAAACAAGATTAGAGTTAAACTAACAGAAAATTTAAGATTTAATATGGCAAATCGTATGAGCTATTAAATTATCAAAGTAATGACTCCTCCTATCCTTTATCTGGTGATTGATTGATTAGATGTAACCAAGAGCAGCATCATTAGCTTTTGAATGTCTGTCGTTGCGGTTTATTAATTGTCCTTATTGTTGATATGAAGGCTGAATATTAGACAGTAAATATATCGGGTAAATTCAAGCCTATTATATCACTGAAATCGTAGAATTTAGTCATCGATACGCAATCTTTGACCTTTTGGTAATAGCACGAACCTCAAACAAAGAAAAAATTTTGTCTTTAAAAACTCCAAAATCCATAGTGAAATTATCAGAAGATTAAAAATGAATGAGAAGAAGGGACGTTTTCAGGGTGTTGCCCTTAAAATTTTAGCTAAAATAATGACGGAGGACAAGTCTGAAGATAATTATCAGGATGAAGAAACAAAATTAACTGCTAGAAGTAAGACTAAAATGGATTGGTCACCTAGAAGGATAAAGCGTAGTTCAGATTTCCGAACTGTAGTTAAATTAGCAAGTATGAAACATTTAAACAAAGTTATTAATGGAGCAAGGCCTCGTGATGTACTCGTTGAAGATCACACACCCAAGTTACCTGAAAAACCTAGGTTTAGTGCTACCCTATCTCCTGAGGCTCAATATGCAACTCTTCAATGTTACGAGGATGCTCTTAAAGAAAAAATAAAGAAAAACGAGAATAATCAGGTAAGATCAGAAGAAGACGAGAAAAATATTGTTACAAAAATTGAACCGA